GGCCCTATTGCGGCTGCTCTGTGGACCTGTCCCCCCCCCAAAAAAAAGAGAAAAGAAACGGAAAGAATTCTTCTGAATGTGTTGGAAATTCATCAAACAAAAGTTGATTTTGAGGGAAGCTATCAAACACTGTTTTCCTACACAGCGATCGAAGGACCATGGGGACCCTTTGGGACAGCAAGGTGCACTGAGCTAATCCATTGGCCTTAAACGGGGAATCGGTCTCAGGGGCAACCCCGGTTTTTGAGCTTGCCACTCAATGGGAAGCCTGCTGTTTGTGCGGAACCGAACAAGGTGGATTTCAACCAATACTTTGAGACAACAAAGCCTTGCTGCAGAAGCCTTGTTTCGCCAAGCTTTTGCCGTATGGCGACATGCAGCCATCAGACTGGGGTTCCCTCAATGTTAACCCCCCCGTGTGCCAGCAACTTTCACCCCGGTGTAAGGGGTATCGAACCCCTGGTGGTATAAAACCTTGTCTGCTTTCCTGGGTGAATCCTAATTATCATTGATATGCGCGACCAAAGATGATACCCTGAATTCCTCCCCAAAAAGAACCTCAGATGAATCAACCCCACTTTTTTGGGGACACCTGGGTTTAATTGGGAATCATGACTTCTGGAGGGGAACGCAGTCCATTCTCTCCACCCCTGCCTCGGCTCCTGCTCTCCAGATCCAGCCGCGCGCGCACGGACCGCTCCCACAGTTCCTCGCAGGCGCTCGCCGGCAGGTTCCGCTCGCCTCAGGCACGGACGCAAAGCCGAGGCCACCGGTCGGACTAGTTGCTTCTGTTCTCCTTCCCCTTGCGGTTTTTTCAAGTTCATGCTTTCAAATATTCTGATATGATAAAACATCCAGGCCCTGGCACACTTCAAAGGAAAACCTCAATGCTGAAACCTGATTGAACGTGTTCAAAGGCTTGCACCCTATCCGCCCCGCTAATCAGCTGAGTAATTGGTGGTTGGGATGGTTGAGACTTGAACCCCCTTTCTGTGCTACCAAAACGGGCCATTCCATTTCACATGACTGCTTCGGTTCCGACCACCATGTTCCCAAACCCTGGCCAAGAGCTAAAAAAAGAACGCTCTGCTTTTTGGTAGCTCACGGTTTCATGCGGTTTACGCCTCCAGACATCGAGAAACACCGCACCTCACTGGACTCTGGTCTTTTGCCCGAGCCACAGGTCTCCTGCAGCTTCCGCCTCAGAGCTGCGAAGGCGTGCACCAGGCTCGGCGCCAAAGGCGATCCGCCGCGCTGCAGGGCCTCCATGAGGTGGAACAAGGCGAGCTTGGCCTTGGGGTCCTGACAGGTTTCGGAGCTCCAAAGCTAAGGAAGGAGGGCGGTTGGAACCGCAAGGAAGGAGGAGGGCGGCGTCCGATTGGCACCCGGGAAAAGCCAGCCCCAGAAAGAGGCACCGACTGAAGCTTGGGCTGCTGGATCTTGAGGGGAAGCCCAAACTCACCATGATCCCCTGAGCTCTGGAAAATGACATGCGCAGTCGTCTGTAGTGCCCTCGGGGGGGTCCATGCAGAGCAATTGGCAAACATGTTGGTTGCTGGGGCTATGCCACCTGTCACTCCCTAGGTTGATTGTTGGTTTACGCTTCCTAGAATTCAGCAAGTTCTGCTTCGGGGGGGTCCAATTGGCTGGGAGGATACAGGACGATAGGGTTGAATCCTATGATTGTTGGCTTCAAAACTTGAAATTCCCAAAATGGGACACTAGATTCACTCAGGCTCTGATGTTCATTTCAAGGGACCCAGTCAGATCCGGTTCATTCGCTTGACTTCTACTTCTTCTTGTTTTGCCCCCAGCAACCCACGAAGACCTGGGCTAGGTCCTGGCACGCGCTCCGGTAGGCCAGGCACTTGTCCTTGGGCAACCCGGGGGAGCCCTTCTGGGTCCACAGTGACAGCCTCAAAGTTCCAAATCGAAGTGGTGGTTCAAAGTTAAGAAATGAAGGGCTCCCTCAAATCACAAAGAGGTCTTTCTGTGAATCATGAAGCATTACCAAAATAACTCCAACTGCCCAAGAGTCAAACAAGGGAACATGCTTATGGTCACGAGATTTTCTGAACGGCTCGTGCCTGTTCGCAGAAAAAGCCGCTTCCAGCATTTCGCTTCCTACATTTCGAGCACGTTGGTCAGTCTGCAGGATGGGTTTCTTTCGGGGTGTTTGGGTGGGGGGGGTGTTGGCGTTCATGGTCATGGATGATGATGTTCACCGCATTAATTTGCCGGTTGTCAGTCATGTCAGTCCAAGCAAAGCCGTGCCCCTTTCATTGGCGTTGCTTGCCGCCCATGATGCAGTGCGTCTCGCTTGGTGGGGACCCAGCTGGCCGACCGGTGGCATTTCTTGGACTCTTGGATCCCCCCAACGATCACCACTATCCTTCGTGGCAAATTCAACAGAGTGCAATTTTTTAATTTGAGTTTTCAGGGCTGTGGCGTTATGGGCGTGTTGGGGGCTGCCTGCAAAGACTTTGGAATTGCTGGGCAACCTGGCGAACTGAGCAGGCGCTTCGCATAAAGGAGGCAGAAGCTTTTGCTGAGGGATGGTTGCCACCCAAAGCCTCATCACCAGGGTTATGGCTGGGAACCATGACCATGACCGGGTCTCAAACAATTTTCTCACTGTGCCGTGGGGCATCTTTGTTCGTAGTCTGCCCAGGGTTCCGTCAGAAAGTGCTCACAAATCCGGACTGGAAGGTATAAGTTGCCCAATTTCACCGGGTGTCAATAGTCAAATAAGGATAGACAGGGCCCGGGACAAATCACAGCATGGAAATCCCCCTTGCAGGGTTTGTCCAAAAAAGCTGACAGGGCTAGAATGTTAGCTAGATAAGGAAAACTAAAGGACTCCACACCAATCTTCTAGCCTTGTGTGGCCACGGCTTTCAGGTTCGTAGCATCCATGTCTTGCTTTGTTTGTGCGGGAATGGCAAGAATATTGGGCTGAAGAGTCTTCGGCTCACAAAAGTTCATGGTTTTCTTCTCTCCAACTTACAAAGGAAGCCTACTTAAAAGACAGAAAGACGGAAGTCCAAAAAGGCGAAAGGGCAGCTGGCTGGTGATTAGGCAAACCTCCATTTTGCAACTGTGTGCCATCCGCAAGTGGGCAAATGCTCCAGTTCCTCGATCCGCCCCTTAAACTCAGCAATGGATCCAGGGCCTTGCCGCCTCTATCGCCGCTGCAGCCGTACCAGACCGCTTCCACCACGCGCTCGCAAATGGCCGCCACCAGGGACTGGCTCAGCAAAGGCGCACCTTAGAGAATGCGAAGAATGCGAAGAGCCAAGACACGGTGGCCGTTCTTGCATTCGCCATTGCAGCCATCGTTCGCCTAACATGGCCCCATGGTTTTCAAAGCGAAATGGCCATGACCCGTAAACCCCAGAACACTTTGTGAAGGCACATTGAAACGATGCTTCATCTTGCGGTCGACGACATATGAGACAAAATTATATAAACCATTTGGCCAGAAAATTGGCCAACGGGTCTACCTCTATCTCCCCTTGAAGGGTGGACACCTTTTCAAACCATCTCCTTTCAAGGGCCCATATCTGAGCTTCGATGTTGCAAGGGAAATGTAGGGAACCCTGTGGAAACACGTGGCCCCACCTTGAAACAGGGCGAACAGTCTCTAGCCTATGGTCTGGTATGGTTGAAGCAAGGTCACTTCAACTACATGGCTATGGTCTAATATGGTCTATGAGCTCCAAGTCAGTCAGACGTTAGTAAGGCAGCAAATGGTGTGGTTCCAATGGGCCATACCCCAGACCTCCGGTAGGAAAACAGAGCCCAGCCTTTTCCGGGCTGGCCAAATTTGAAGTGCCACTGAAAGTCTTGGATGCTTCAACCATATTAAAACGTGTCTGCTTGAGTAAGTTGTTAGGTCATTGTAGCCCCTTGAAAAGCCTTACATTGCCACTAGTTAATTGGGGTCAACTTTGTTGTTGGCGGGGTTTCCCCAAGCGGCTAAGCTACTTTCCAACAATGGAAGTGGGCTGGGTGGTGTTTTTAAGAAGGACTGCCTCCATGTGTTCGATGTTTGATCGACTGTTGTTTAAACGCGTGTTGCTTAGACCTGTGCTGTTGGAACATGTGGTGTCTGCACACGAGCTGCTTCAACATGTGACGTTTGAACGTGCTGCGTGAACCATATCTGATCCTCATTTGGGTAGGGTTTGTTTGTTTTGTTGAAGGGTACCCGTTTCACGTTGGTTTAGAGGGAAGCCAAACCAGTTGCTTCGGTCGGTCGCCACGCGAGCCGCGCCTCTGGCAGCCAGCCTAGCCAAGGTCTCGCAAGCGGCAGCAAACTCCTGGGAGCCTAAGCGAGTCAAGGGGCCCCCGGGCCGCATGATTAACTCACGGGGTCCGGGTTGTTCTCGAAGAGACCTGGTTGAAAGCCATCTTCGCGGATTAGTTGCTTAGTTCATCAGCTTCTCTGTTCCCCTAAATATTGCAAATAAGCCAAGCACAAACCATGATCTCTTACAGGGTTCCGCTGGTCCTACTAGCACTATTTGGGGCATCCGCTGGTGAAAGGAACTGTGGCCACTTGTGAGGACCTCCATCTCAGTGACCCAAAAATCCCTATATGTAGACCTATACACGCTTTGCAGCATATTCTCCATATTTATATGTATGTATATATATATATATATAGATGTTATATCTATGTACCAGCCGTGCATGTGCATTCAGCCCATGTGTAGTTCCTGGGCAACTCACAACACTTCACAACTCGCCAAGAAGTGGCCCCTCCTGAAGTGAGCTAGTGGTTCTCATTTCCCCAGCTTCCCTTGGAGGTCCCTGCGGTCTCGGTCAAACAGCAGCTCGAGGCCGACCAGGTGCCCGCGCCGCCTTCGAGCTCTTCCAGCTCCCGCAACATCTTGCGCTTCCGTGAGCTGGGCGCTTTCCTGACCGGACGCGTGACCATGAATCCAATGCTCTGACCCACTTCGGGTCAAGAACATGTGGATTGAAAGCAAAGTCGATGGCGCAATTCCATTGTTCTTGCATGTTGGTCTTCGCATCCCCGAAATTTGGCCGCACAAGGGGGTTGTGCCAATCTATACTTCTCCCTGTTGCATCCTTTAGGTCCAGGCTGCTTCTGGTCTGTCGCGGGCAAACTCCTCGCCGAAAGATCCGTGGCGTCCAGGGCGAACTTGCCTCAGCTGTTGCGTGGCCATGTGATTGTGCATTGCGCGTAAGAAACGCGCACCTTGCTGTTGCATCCTCTTTCCAACAACCACAACGACTATCTTGAAAGCCCCCTGCCCACTGTTGCCGACTTCCATCATTCTTGGAAAATGGCGATCGCATTCAAAAACGGGGAAGCGACCTCCAAATTGGACAAAAAGAAAAGCGCACACCCTTTACGAAGATTTGGGGCCGGTTGCGCCCAGGTGACACCCCATCAATTCGAATGGGGCTCTCTCTAAAACCACTTGTGTCATGATGATGGGGCAGAGCATAAGTATGAGTAATCATTTTGCCCCGTATGGCGCAGTGAGCAAAATTTGGTTGGCATACACAATCAGCAGGTCCAAATAACATTTGGAGACTTCCAGGAAATGGGTGAGCCACAATTGGGGGGCCACGTGCTAGCTGAATGTTTCAACATGCCCCTTGTTTGCTCTTGGGCATGGTCGTTTTTCTCGTGAAACCCTTGAGGGCTGGCAGCAAAAAGAAAAAGAATTCTTGCGCGTGGGCCCCAAGCCCGCAATGCAGAGAGAGAGAGAGAGAGAGTCTGTTGCAGCCCTTCCCACTCAAATGATCAGAGCCGAAAGGTAAAACAACATACCCAGCGCCGTAAAACTGCAGCGGCTGGGCAAGATGCTGCGCCAGTTGGTATGTGGTTTATTCCAGTATCAATAGCCGTCATCCATTCCAACTGAATAATGGCGTGGAACTCCTCCCCCCCCAAAAAAAGAAGAAGCGGAAAATGGAGTTGCAACCCACCAGAGGTCTGGCACAATACATCAAAGGGACTGCCCAAAACGCGTCTCGGTTGCTTTTGGCTTCTTGCCAACCCCAAAAAGGCTACAGCACCCTCAGAAAAAGACACCCCCAACTGCCTCAAATTGAACTTGGCTCCAAAACTGGAGCTATATTTACGCGGGCTCTAGCCTCTGTGCGGGCAAATGGATGGCCGAGTCTCAGAGCCGCTCCAGCAAAGCCTTCCTGAGCACCAGCGCGGGGGCGTCCTGCTCCAGCCGCAGAATCACGCGGAAGACCGCCAGGCGCGAGGCCTCCGTGGCCCTGGGAACGGAAGACCGCCGGAGAGGAGGAAACCGGAGGCGCCAAACCCGGAAACCGGGGGCCAACTGCAAGTCACCAGGAAACCCGCCGATTTGAGGAGAGTCCTTCCAAGTTACCGGATTTTAGCATGCGTGAGAGTGGTCGAAGGTTGGATTATTTTGCAACGTTCAGGGCATCCACCGTACATGTGTGGATGTAGAACATGCATATTGCTGTATACACATTAAGTTGCGGTCTCCGATCCTCCCCACCCCCCACCCCACCACCTTCCCCCCAAAACAAAGCACACCCACACATATCCAAACTAGTGCAGAATGAACCCACCCAACAGGGATGATGCACAAACAGTTCGCCTATGAAGCACAACGTCCTGCATCTAGATCTGATTGACATGGAGCCCTTGTACAGACCCCTTTAGCATAACTTCCCACCCTGGCATGTGGACTTGCTCCTTTACAGCACGCACTAAAGCGTGCTGCGAAGATATAAGTGCAAGCACCTTTCCAAGCAAGTTGAAATGGAGGGTTCATTAAGAGAGACACATCACAGTGTGACTGGATGCCACTGAACAGGGGGGGTTCCTGTTGATCAACCAAGGCTTGTCCATCGTTACCCTGCCAGCATGTAAGACCTCGTTCGTATCAGCATCAAATACCACAATTAGGACCAAGATTCTTGGGTTGCAGTTGCTTTCAGCACCTCCAACATTAGGGGCAACAACAGGGCCATAAGCGAAGCAACTCCTATCGTAGCCATCGTCGCCCCTTTTGGAACCGACCCAAAGTAAAAACCGGGCCGAGGGCCTGGTGCCAATCCAAGCCGCCCCGCGGCCGAGGCTTCGGTGAGCAGCTCCAGCAGCCCGCGGATCTGGGCCGCGAAGACCAAAGTCCTGGGCTACCCGTGCCACAAGACCGGTGGATGCTCCTGCGAGACTGCGGATGAAAGAAAAGCTGCACCAGTCAGTGCTTACAGGGCTTTATAGGGCTTGATAGGGCTTGATAGGGCTTTCTAGGGCGTCATAGGGCTTCATGAATGTGATGTGATTGGATTAGGCCAATGCCCAACCGCACAACCATGGCAACTTCCAGTCAATTGGATGGTTTCCTTGCTCGCCTGCTTGCAATCTGGCAGGGGCATCCACAGTGCCTCCCAATGGTAAACCAGGAAAAGGGGGTTCACGGGGGTTTACACAGGGTCCCTTGAAGACATTTGGGCTGGTCACAACAAGTCACCCAAATACCATTTGATTTAGAGGATCCCTCTGTACTTCGGTGGCTGTTAGATGCATCCTTTAAGGAACTACGTTCATATATCAGAGGATTACCGCGAACTAGGAACACTGGAAAACCCCAAGGACCAGTGGTTCGCAATGACAAATGTCTCACCGCCACCGTTTGAAAGCTTGGTCAGGGAATTCAAGTGCTGGCTGGTTCCCACGTACAACAAGTAGGAGCTACAAAGCAAAGGCCCAAATTTGTAACGAACCAAAAAGACTCAAGGTGAGGGCAATTTTCTCAGTGCCACGCGAAACAAAATCCCCCCGCCCCTCCTCCATGCAACCCGCTGGAAAATCCAGCCAGGGTAACCCATGGAATCCGCTGAGTTGCTGATACGGAGTCACTTGCAACCAAAGGACCTGCAGGTCATCCCCTCGTTTCCCATCCATCCCTCAGCCACGCCAAGGCTCAGCGGCCCTGCCACCTCCACCAGGACGCACAGCAACTTCAAGGCCTCTGTCATCAAGGCGCCTTCCTGCGACCAGGTGGAGCAGGATGGGGCCCATGTGGAAAGCCCGGGTGCGTTTGTTTAGGGACTGGGCAGGATTGAGCATTACCTGTCCTCTGGAAAATCAAACATGGGCGGTGTGGCACCCAGTTAAACCCCACCAATTTGGAAGCAACTCTAAACATGTTGGCAGAGCCGCTTACCTTCTGTGTGGCTGTCCGTCCCTTCAAAGGATCCAAGGCACAGGCGTGTCAACAGGATTTTCCCCGCCCTGGCAATCGCAAAATTGGATAGACATTTTACTTGGGGGGGTGGCGAAGAAAACAAACTGCGGGCATCACCCTTAATTCCAGAATGACATGCCAAAATTCGGTCTGAAACTGGGCCCTGTTTTTCAATGTGGAATGTTGGTGTTGCGGCCCCTCTGTCCTCCTCAAACGAGCCAAAAATGAGGAGGGCAACAACTGTTCTAACCAAAGCAATGATTCAACATAATCCAAAAAACAACTGAAAACCATGTCTTTTCACCAGCGAATAAATCCCTCGTGTACTTGGCAGAGATCGCTGTAAAACAGGCAAGAAAAGCACCAAGAACTCCGCCGGTCCCAAAGAAGCACTCGCCGGAAGCTCCTGGCGCGCGCGCAGCAAGAGGCTGATGGTGGCCATGAGCTTGGCCAACGGCAGGGCCACCTGCAGCGCCCATTGGGGGGCCTTACATGTTGACGCCTCTTGTGGCTGACAAGGGTAGGGAGGGGGTGGGGGAGTTGAGAACAAACAGCACTTAAACATGCACAACCACTCTTGTACGAGCCCTCAAGGAGCACGGAACGCCCGTGAAAACCAAAAAAAAGAAGGGGGTGAGCAGGCGCCTGCTCCGCCCGCTCAGGTCGTCTCTGGCCCTCGGAGCTGTGGTGCCCGTAGAGGAGCAGCAGCTGCAGAAATTCCTGGCATGGGTCCTCTAAATTCCGATTCTTCCCCTTCTGATTGGACAAGATTCCACATTCTTCCCCTTCTGATTCTTCTTCCCCTTCTTCTTCCTCTTGTCTTGGACAAGAACAAAAACCCCCTGATTGAATAGAGGCTTCGCCATGCACATGCACTGCAGAAGATCTAGCCTAGGAGGTTGTGGACATCACTGGGCGGCTATGAGTTTTACTGGGGGACCGTGCTGAAAAGTTGTTGCTGGGCATTCATCTCCCGGAATTGTGATGTGCACTAAAGGGTTGCTTGACATTTGGAACTTGTACCGGTATAAATGGTAGTTCTAAGTAAAACCAGCAAAACCCAAACACAAAAATGAGAAGCTGTTTAACCCTTCACCTTGATGGAAACAGGCTTTTGAATCCTAGTTGCAACCATCAGTGGCAGAAGAAGGGCGCCAGTCCTCTTCGGCGTTGGCATTGTTGTGCACCCTGCAATTTCTCTAACTACATGTGTCGCCAAACCTGGCGACGCAAAACACAGTCTGTGTCTGTGCGTGTGTGTGGCATAGGCACGGCGGCCGCAAAAAGGGCGCTCGACATTCGCTCGTTGACTATGGAAACGCCAAGGGAGGTTCAACCTTCATATGCTCACAGAACAACAAGCAAACAAAGGCAACCAACGAGGAAAAACAAGTAAGCATGAAAGGCGACCGACAGCCAAAAAGCAAAAACGGACACCGTCAAGACCTGGACACCAACATGAAAATACTTGGCCCGACAAATCCGCCCCCCTGCCAAAAAAGTGGGCGCCAAAAGGACACCGCCAAGGCGCCAGGAGCCGCACGCACTGGGCGCCAGCCACGCCGGCGCCTCCTGGGAGATGATAGCTGAGAGGAAACCAAAGACAGCGGTGCCATTTACATCCCTGCAAACTGACGGAAGGAACCCAAAAGGGACCCAACTCCCAAAAAGAGCTTTCTCTATGGTTGTTTCTGGGTTCCATGTTGGTCAGTAGGGGAGAAAGGGCCTAGACAACTAGAATGGGGCTAAGTAGTTCTGCTGCCGCTTGTTTTACTTTTCGCGTTGACGATTGTTAATACTGAGCCCAATATTCGAACTGTCGGTAGGGGTTATCAAGGTCAGAAACTGGGATCGATCAACCTGCCGCGTGGGTGACTTTGATAATGGTGGCTCAGCAAACAAAACGGGAAACAGGGTCGCACTGAGCAATTGGGGAAAAAACCTAAGAAGGAGGTTTTCAAAAGGGTTCGTACACTGCTCCGGGAATGTTGGTGGAGTGTAGGAGCAAAAAGGGGAGCGACACCTGCTTACATCCACATTGCCAATCAATGCTGGGCCCCCCGTAGCAAGAGCATCAAGGGCAAGAAACTCTGTTGGTAAGCCAACATGAAGCCGCCCTGGCGTGACAGGGATCGCCAGCATAGGAGGTGCTTTCCCAAAGAGGCGCCCGACGGAAAGCGCGAGGCGCTAAGAAGCAGCAAAAGACCTCTGCCTCTGCTTGGGAGGGGAAGTGGTAGGTGGCCTGGGATCGTCCATGGCTCAACACATCACCACCAAAGCAACCCCACAAAACTCCATAACCGAATTCCACTCCGAATTCCCGGCCCCCTTCTTTGTGGGAAGTTGACTGCCGGCTGTCCTGGAATTCCCAGCTTTGGCCGTATGGCCGCGAAAAGCTGCTCCAGCTCCTGCCGAGACATCGCTGCAACATGGCTGTAGGGGGTATGTGCGCAGAATGGCCCTTGTACCCGGACCAACTCACACGACACTTCCCTTTTCTAGGATCCGCATGGATCCGCACTTCCTGATGCCCTGGACTTTGTACTTTGTTGCAGGTCGACTCATTTCCATGCCAATTCTGCCAGCTGAGTACTGGAGGATTGGTGGCAGGGCTAGGTCAGGGACTGACTTCCGCGCAGGCCTGGAAGTGTGCCTGTGCCATACCCAGCTGCAACAGTTGCGCAAATCAGGATCTTCTGCCAACCCACTCAGCAAGTAAGGTTCCGTTCAAAGCGCCTCCATTGGTTTGGCGGCACAAATTCAATCGCGAAGTGAGCACCTCAGAACCGAACGTGGTTGACAGCCAAACTGTTTGCTTGGCCGTCTTTGCTTGGCTTCAAGCAAGGCGAGAAACTTCCTGACTGAGGTTCACTAGGCAAACAAAGGCAGCCAAGCGGATTGCAGTATAGGTGCATGAAAACAGGAGATTGGATATGCGCTTCTAAGATAGAAAGAGGTGTTCCTGGAAGCGGAAAACAAGGGCACATGTCCTGTGATTTGGTCATTTGTTGGGTCACCGGTTTGGGGCTTACCACGCTGATTTCAGGAAACCTCCTTGTCACAAGCCGATTCGGGCAATTCGGCTTTCGACTCCTCAGAGGCTGCCTGCAGCGCCTGCGCCGCGTCCGCCACGGAGCACAGTGCCAGCTGCGCGCAGCGCGCGACGCGGCGGTTGGGGTGGACCACCAGCGGCCACAGCAGCGGCCACAATGCGGCGCCTGGCGCACGGCTGTGGTCCAGGAGCCACCCAAAGACCTCGCTTGCTTTTCCAGGGGTCTGGAAAACTTCCAAATCCAGCAACGAGAAACCTTCAAACAAAAAGCACCCCTTCTACCACCCCCAAGCCCCTGAGGGCAAAACGTGGCTTGTAACTACTTGCTTCAAGTGACTGTAGCGATAGCGGCTACATATCCCATGACACCCCAGGACGCTTTCAGCCCGAAAGAACAAGGAAGCCACAAAGGGCGTCCCCCCCGCCCCGACTCGGCCCGCCTCCGGCGAGGGCCTGGGCCTCGCACAGCGCCAGGCACCCCTCCGCCGCCGCCTGCTGCACCGCCAGCCGGGGGAACCGCTCCAGCGCCGCCTCGATCCAAGCCAAAATGTTCAAAAGCCAAGGCATTCCCCCAAGGCCTTGTTATCAAGGTGGGGAGTTTCTTCCAGAATTGCTCCTCTGATGCTTCCAGGGAAATATCGGGAACCCTGAAGCATCCAAGGCTGATGAGAGCCATAGCAAGGTCATGGCCTTAATAACCTCAAACGGTCGCCAACAAGGACTAAAAAAGTCACTATGGCTCCCCCTTCCATGGCTCCAAATTAGTATATGATGAATTGGTACTACGGTATGCCTCAAGTCTGAAAACCATAGTTGCCCGCTGGCACCTAAATCAAGAGAAGGCCCTGGCAATTTGTAGCTAACACAGCCGTTTACCCAGCCACAAATTGCTCTCTCACAAAGATCGGAACATCTCAGAATGCTACTCCAAGTTTCCAGGTTCCATGACCAGATCGGGGATTCCACGCCGTCCAGGTTTGACAACACCACCTCCAGCCCCTGCCAGTCCCTGCCTGCAGGGTGGGCACCACCTTCCGGGCCCAGCTCTGCTTCTCTTGGCGCTCCTCCCGGGAGCCCTGGCTCGGAGTGGCGCTTCTTGAGCCGGTTTTTTTTGGGTTGGCAGCGGAGGCCAGCAAAAAACCTGCCATTTCGGGGGTCCCCCTATTCGACTCGCTCCAAAGCAGATGCTGGTCATGGGCACCCACGATTGGAGCGATGCGGGAGTTCTTCCCTTTGGCGAATGCGGGCGCCCCCAATACCAAGCTGCCTGGTGTGCCTTGGACGCCGACGCCAGCGCGCACAAGGCCCGCAGGCCCAAAGCCGCCACCAGCGGGGAGGAGGCGCCGCCCGTGCCGGCGTTCAGCGCCAGCACTGCGCGGGCCACCTGGTCTGCTACCAGCGGCGCCTCCGCCTCAGGCAAAAATGGATTTGGAGTTGTTGTGTGTTTTCTTTTGTTTCTCCGGGTACCCTTTCAGATTGGGAAATAAATGGGAAGACATGCCTGTTGTTTTCTTTTTTTCTGTTTTTTTCTTCTTCTCTTTTTTTTTGGGGGGGGGTCCCAGATTAAGACACGACTATTTGACTCAAATGTAGTTTGTCCCAAAACTACCGAACCCCAAAAAAACTTTGACCTCAAGTCCAAAAGGTGATCCCTTGAAAGGCACATCAAAATTTGGGAGCCCTTTGAAACCATCCACAAAGGGTACTCCCAACCAACACACACCCAAAGTTCACGAAGATCTCCCCCAAGTCAGAGGTAACCTTAGATCTTTTCTGGCAATAGAGATGCTCATGACACCGGCCATTCAAATTCACCCCCGTATGAATACGACTAAGCCAGTCCCCCAATCTGTGTAGCGCGGTTCAAACCCCGACTCTAGAAACCCTGATTTCTCCGATTCCGGAAACCACTGAGATTCATCGATGGTCATCTGGAAGCCGGGATAACCTTGCGAGGTCTTGACGAAAGAACCAAACATGTACTCAAACGTACGAAAACTAAAAAGTCAAAGGCTCAAAGGTCGATTCGCTTTGGACCGCTGGCTCGCCCCGTGCCTCCGGCGGAAACCGCAGGTCCAGGGCCGCCAGCAGCGCGGACAATGCCAGCGTCTTGGGCCCGGAGCCGCCCGGCTGCGCCAGGGTGCTGGTCACTGCCTCCCGGAGAAAACGGGTATGACCGGACATGACCAGACTTGACCCCCTGCAAAAAGCTGTTACTTCTTTGGTTGAAAAGGGTCAAATGATAGAACCGAAAAGCCCAAAAGTTGAGAAGGTAAGCTAAGTCACGCTAAGTCGCACGCCTAAAACTGCAAGGGTTTCGTGTTGAGCTACCTTTGAACTCGTCTGGGTTCTGTATTTTTGGACATCTCTGAGTCGTCCCCCTGGAAACCAACCAGCTATCGCCACTGGCCTTTGCCGAGGCTGGAACCTCTTAGGCTCGTTTTCAGGGAAACCAACGCACACAAGACCCCAGATTTTTGGACAACACATATGAGTGGGGCTATGCAGGTTTTAGTCGTTGGTTCCATGTACCAAGGGGGCCGTTTTGGTACGTCTATTTGAGCCACGGCCATATGGATATTTCTCAAATTGTGCTCCCTTCACTTAAACCAACATAGCCAAATCGGGGTGCAGAAGACCCTCGCCCCAGGTCTTTGATCCTACCTCTCAGTGTGGTCCCGGGAATGACCCCAAACTGAGGCATTCTTAAGACTGGGAGACTGTGGTAGTGCACTTTTTGTGGTTTGGAGGCTTGATATTTTGAGCAAGTTGTACACTTGCTTTGCTGAAGCGAAGATTGCTTGTAATGGCGAGCTCTGAATCAAATCAAGCCATCTAGCTGAAATTATATCCGCATCTGTCCTTTCATTCCTGTTTGGAAATAGAATTGAATTAGACTTCAACGAGATTCCACTATGGAAAGGCAAGCTGGTTGTTTCTGCGAATTTGCCTGCCCCTTAACAGAAGTGAACAACCAGTAGAAACTCAAGGCAAATACAAATTCAGTTCTATTAATTTGCAAGTGCTAAATTGCCACGCTTCAGGTTAAATCATTGATGGTTAGAACTCAATTTAAAGGATGATTTTTGAATTGGAATTTAGAAAGGGCTTCCATCCAAGGATTTTCATCCGGATGTCAGTGCAATCTGTAATAAGGAAAGTCAAGTGCGTTGTTTCTTCTAACTTGCAAGTCCCTTAAAAGGAGTGAAAACCGGTAAAAAGCCATGGAGAATGCAAACTGCATACCAATTGATTTGCGAGTTTTAAATTGCAAGGAATTCAGTTTGAATGATACTTCGATTGGAATTCGGTTTAAATTCTTATTTTGACTTAGATGTTAAATAGTACGTCCCTTCCAAGTAAATTACAACTCATACTTTAAGTTGGATGTTGAATTGGAATTGCCTTTAGGTGAGCCGATCTAGAGTTTGGGCCAGGCGCCGGGGTTCGCCCACAACCATCTTGGTGCCTGCATGTCAGCCATGTTGACAATTGCTTCAGGATTTGTCTAGGCTCCGGGGTGTTAGGCTGGAGCGATCTACCACTTTCTGCCCGCCAACTTGTGCGAGCCTCGCCTCATGGTCGCTCCTTGGGGCATCTGGAGCAAACGAGCGCGTGGGAGCACCCAGCACGGTTAGGGTCAACTGCGTTTTGGGTTTAAGGTTTTGGCTCAACTGAGTTTAGGGTTTAAGGTTTTGGTTTAAGGTCAACTGTTTAGAGTTTAAGGTTTCGGTTTAGGGTCAACTGAGTTCAGAGTCTAAGGTTTTGGTTTAGGGTCAACTGAGTTTAAGGTTTAAGGTTTTGGCTGCTTGCAACTGCTCCATTTGCTGGCGAGGGCTACTTTTTCTGCATGAGGTCATTGCAAAGTGTCCACTTCGGGGTTCCCAGGAACAAGGAAAACATTGGGAGTTCTAACTTTTTGCATTCCGCTTCATAAAGCGGATCTCGAGGAGTTGAGGCTTGCCCGCTGCCCGAATATGCTGAAATGCTGGCCCTGCCACGATTTTTGGAGGTCCCGAACCGTTGTTCCCGAGGGCCGCGGGGAAACCGCAGCTCCTGGCTGTAGAGATTAATTGAAATTATTGTTTTGAATCGCTTGAAAACAGAAATCCTTTAAAATTCTACATGGGGAATCCTTCCCACGAAGGATTTTGATTAGGATTCACTTGGAACTTGATTAGACTTTAGATAAAGTTAACTAGAAACTCGTAAGGAAAGACAAGTTGGTTGATTCTTTTCGTTAACTTAGACAGAGTTCTGATACTTAAATCCGCCGACATTGCTCGGCGTGTCGGATACTTACTAGAGGATAGAGGATAAGGCCCCCCCCTGACCCCCCCCGCCCGACGTTTATTACGTAGGCTTTTTGGGGGGGGGGGGAGGGGGGGGGGAGAGGGGGGAGGGGGGGGGAGGGGGAGGGGGGGGGAGGGGGGGAGGGGGAGGGGAGGGGGGGGGGGAGGGGGGAGGGGGGAGGGGGGTGCCATGGACGCTTAGCGTCCATTTTGCCAGCTTTCCGTGCGGCTCGCGCGGTTGTTGAACCCTCTGAACCCTCTGCGCGGCTCGAGCGGGTAGACCTTTGAAAGCTCGTGTCTTTGCGTTTTTTTACTTGTCACGGCAACCCTTTGCACACTTTGGGCGGTCAAACCTTGAAAAACTCTTTTTTCCTGCTTTGCACTCCGCTGGCAAGGTCCCTTGCAGCCCCTTTGCGCACTTTGGGCGGGCAGACCTTTGAAACCAAAAAACGGCGTTGTTTTTTTGTTTTCCGCATTACTTGCACAACCTTTGACCTCCATGACTAAAGTAAGTGTTCTCACTTTTGCCGATGGGAATCCCCGACAAAAAAAACAAGAAGCTCAGCTCAGGAATCCACAGGGCCCAAAGCTACCCCGCACATGAATTGTCTGGATGCGAATGTTCGTGTTGGCTTGCGTCTGCTGTCTCTACGGGCGTCTCTGGACACAGCCACATTTACTGGGCGCGTTTTGTTTTTATGTTTCGCGGTTTTCCGCGCCTGTGGCTTGACTGGAGATCGAACGTCGTTCTGATTCGTCCCTGGTTCCCTCCCACAACGAGTGACACACGTGACCATCCTCAATTCTGCCTGGTACCTTCGCCTTGGATTTTGCAGGGTTGTGGAGGACGTCACCCAATTTCGGGCACATGCTGGCACCTTTGTTACGTTCGAGGGTGCGTTGGACCGACAAGTGGCGGCCTGGATGTGCGAGCTTCCGGTGGCTTGACCCAAAAAGCCACCTGTGCACCTTTTGGTTCCCTGTCTTGGTCAACATTCTGTCAAGCCCCAGATCTTTCCGGCTTTTGCGCAACTTTGCTTCATTGGAAATATACGCGAGAGCGGCAAGTGGAAATTTAGGTTTGGCCATGGCCGCGTGGCAGTTGTTATGTCGATAACGGGCTGCAGAAACCGATACTTCAGGCATGATTGTCACTGTCGTGAGCCATACATGGAAGAGCGCGGCCGGGGGACTGCTTTGTCATCAACCTTGCCACGTGATATGTTTTCTGGCGGGATCTGAAGATTATGCTCACTCTACGTTTGCTGCTTTCAATGGCACTGCGTCTTGTTGCAAAGTCAATTCAACTTCATGCGCAATCCGGACAGCCTTGGCTCATTGAGCTGCTAGGAAGAGCTGCGACACGTCTGTGTTCCACTCAAGCCGAAACGCCTCACGTGGGGAAGGGGGGGGCGCTTGTCAACTTGGGCAGGGCCGTGCGCAGAACACGCGGCGACTTATAGCGACTCATAGCAGCCACAGAATTCAACAGTTCAACGCGTTGCTTCATTTGCAGCATTGTGTACGCCTTGATGCAGAGTTCTGGCCTGCCATGACGTGCCCAGAAGAACTGATGCTGGACTCCACAAAAGGCAGGCCAAGCTTTGTTTCCTTGGTGCCCATGTTAACGTAGCCAAAGCTTGCGAACCCACACTCTGAGGGTACATGATTTAGAGCGTGCAGCCCTCTTGCTTGCCAGGGGCGCCCAGTCTGCGCACCTGATTGATTGACGCTGTGCGAAGGTTTGTGCTTCATGAGGCACTCAATTGCCACGTCAGCTGCGAAACCCGATGGGGGCTTTTTTTTTGGAAAGCTTGGCTTTGTTTCATGCCCCTTCAATGTTAGTTAAATTCTGTGTTCATGGCAAGATCGGAGAAACGAACGCGATCCGACTGGTTCGCAGCAACCTCGACTCGCCAGGCTGTCGCCGGTCCCATGTTGCTTCGCGGGCTGCAGCCGCTCGAAGCCTTTTCTGGGAGGCTCGAGTCGAGAGCTGCTAAAGCGGGCCTACAGGGGCTGACGGCAAGTAGGGTTTCTCACCTTTTTTTGGGGGGGCAGGAAGTGACGTTTGCTGACCCGCTGTATTTGTGGTTTACTAATTGGCTGGCATGGTTTGTGTCCGCGCAGTTGCTCCTGAACCATCGTGAAGTTGTGATGCTGAGGTTCTTAGGACGATGATGATGATGATGCAGCTCCTGTTGGCGGCTCAAGCGTTACTTCGAAGGGCGAACAGTGCTCTATCATGCCAGGGCAGCCGGGTAAGCCGGGAAAGTCCGGCAAGCCGGGCCTTCCTGGCAGCCCCGGCCAGCCGGGCGGAACTGCGTCGCACGTGAAACAGCAGCTCTTGAACATGGCTTCAGCCCTCATCCTCTGCACGCTGGCCAAGACCGAGGGTGAGGCAGCGGCCAAAGCGCAGGAAGCTTCGTTAGGGTCTGTGATCTCCCGGCACAAGGAGTGGCCCGCCCACCAACACTGCGAGGTGGAGCCGGATTTGGACTCAGCTTCCTTGGCACTTCTGGCGGCCTGTGTTGGATGCAGCGTGGCTGCTGCGCTCGCCAAGAGCTGGTTCGTTCGATTGGTGGCGAACTTCGACGGCTCGCTGGATGCCTTCGGCTTTGACTGGCGTGGGATGCAGGCCCGCCACTACACCCGGGCAAGTGTGCGCAAGGCCATCGGCGCCCTAACCTTCGATGTGGCGTGCCCGAGGGCGCGTCTGCAACAATGGCAGGCGCACCATCGAACCTGCAAGGGTGGTCGCGGCAAGTTTTCAATGAAAGTGGAAGCAGCGGACCTGTTCCACGACTTGACCGTCGCGGGAGCGTGGGAGAAGTGCATCGCTGCCGGGCTGACTCATGAGTCCCT